AAAAAAAGGAAAATGAAGGAAGACTGAACGTCTCTGGATCACCGGAGTTCATATAGTTGAAGCTCTACAGTGTACTTTGCGTTTTTTACGACTCAAACGTCTTACTCGCCTGTGAACTTGACAAGATAAGTGATCCTCAAACGAAATTACACGCACCCCTCAGGAAAGACCAACAAAGTGACGACAATACCGAAGATCTCTATGCCAATTGCTTTATAAATGTAGAAAACGAGGCGAGAGTCCGATCCGAACGTGTCTCGCGTCTATCGTGTCTTTGGAACGCTCTGACATTTGTCTTGCCCGTGAACCTTCCGTTCCAATCGAAGACGTCGTTAAACTCGCTAAATAAGCTTGCTGGCACTCGTGTTATCGAGGTGCCCATGTACTACTTCTTTGATACTGGTGGAAACTACACAAGCAGGAAGCTTGTGGGCCTTGAGGGCGGCTAGCGAAAGGGACAAAAGTTGAAGAAGGCGATTTTCAAAGTTTAGGAAGCACCCAAACATATATAGTAAATCAAGGTCTAAAATGCACTCCAAAGTTATATCTTTGGAAACTACAAACTGGTGGTGAAAATTGGCATCAGAAAGGTCCAGAGAAAATCTGGCCATGGCAATATGCCTTGGAATAGTACTATTAGCTGAAAGCAAGGCGGTATTGGGCCTTTCAACATACCTAACCCTAGCCTAAAGCTGTAAAAGGGCTGCTGACGGATCGAGGAACTAGCGCAAGTCTATCAAGCAAGTCTGTTATGACCTACTTTTCCTATGACTAAGGGACAATTTGAAGGAGGCATGAAATAAGTGTATCAAGCATAATGAACGACTCACCGTCAATAGTTGTTGGGCCGGCCTCAATTATTAGGAGGGGGTGGCGGGCTAGCGGACCCCTGAGTTAACGAGACGACTGTCGGCACCACTTGCTTCGACGAGGGAATGGCGGTTTGCGCGAGCACCATTTGCCCGACGTCAGAGACCCAACGTCTGCGGCAATTCCAATGTGGCCTT